TGGGAGAGAGACAAAATGGAGAGTTAATGCTAATTGGGTGGTTTCAGTTTGGGAAGATGAAGAAAGTTCTGGAGTCGGATGGTGGTGACAGCAGCACAACACTGTGAATGCACCAAATGCCACTGAAAAGCAGGTAAAATGTTAAGTTTTATGTTTATTTCCCCTCATACACTGACTGGGACATTCGTGGGGGGGGCTCCCTCTACATCACACACTGGCTAAAAAGGTAAAAGAACTCAAACCTTATAATTCACTTCAATCTAGAACACACTTTCCTCTCTAAACCTGTAATAGTTCAACTTCCTATATGTGGGATGAAATTTTGGCTAATTATGTTGACAGCTACTGGTTGTGAAGGATCACCTACATACTACTGGTGTTAACAGGCCCACAGACTGTCCGGAGGTGGCGTCTGACCCCACTGCCCTGGGCCGCAGCTTGGATGGTCAATGAGCTGCTCCCGGTGAGAAGAACGGGCTCCTGAGAACAGGCAGGTCGGAAGAGGCCCTGCCTGTCACCCCTCTCAGATCTGGGAGGCCCGCTGCCAGTGCAAAGAAACTCAAACAGCTGGACGGAGAGGCCCACAGAGCAAGGGACTGAGAACTCCACACAACGGCCAGCACCCACTTGCCAGCCAACAAGACCACCACCTGGAGGGAGACCCTCCAGCCCCAGCCAAGCTTTACACTGACTACAAGCCCGGGTCCAAGCCCTGAGATTTCATTAAAGACCTGGAGAGACCAGAACCACTCGCCTGAAGTGCTCCCAAATGTCTTGCCCACAAAAACAATGTGAAATAAATGTTTTTTAAAAAACTCATTCATTGCTCTGGCCCGTTTGGCTCAGCAGTTAAGTGTCGGCCTGTGGTCCAGAGAGACCCAGGTTCGGTTCCCACTAAGGCCACGTACCTCAGTTGCAGTTTGTCCCCAGCCCTGGTTGGGTCCTGCAGGAGGCAGCCACTCGATGTGTCCCTTTCACGTCGGTGTTTCTCTTTCTCTCTCTCTCTCTCTCTCTCTCTCCCCTTCCCACTCTATCTGAACAAAAAATGCAAAAATGACCTCAGGTGAGGATTAAAAAACTCATTCATTAAAAGTATACATTTATGTTCACTGAAAAGCAAACTAATTTCTTTCACTAGTGTACATGTGTCAAGGTAACTATTCCTGACAATTTTTCATTTCAACAATTTTTAAAAATCTATTTGCAAGTCTCAAAGGAAACAACCTATGTAATTAGAATGTTATAACTCTTGTTCATGCTAAAAATAAGAAAATGAATGAGAAAACTTTTAAATATGGTTTTTAACAATGTAATCTCAAAAGTGAATGAAAGGACAGAAAACGAGAGACCAGAAACACTGCACCCGCCAAGCTGCGAACAGAGAGATGACTCAAGAACAAGAAAGCTAGTGAGTGTCTTGTACAGAAAGATGCAGAAACTAGCAATTATGTGACGACATATAGAGCAAAAGCCTGTAACTGCTGGGTGGGGCAGCTAACAAAAAGGCAAAGAGCAAAAATAAAATAAAAAAGACCCAACCACTAAAGGTTTATCAGTAATTCTAACATTTTTATTTCTTGTGAGGGTTCTACTGAAAGTAATGGACCTGATTCCCAAAAAAAATACATACAACCTCCCCTAAAATTATCCAGTTCAGAGATTTCTCAAATTACACAGTCTCCCACACCCACCCATGCAGCCAGAAAGAATTCATGTTAGAAACCCGTGACATACAAACATGGGGGGGAAGGAGAGACAGGAAATACATCTCCTTCCAACCTACTCTCTAAATATGCCACATACACACCCTAGGGGCTACTACTACAGTAACAAAACCAAGAGCTACTCTTTTGATAGTTTCTCTGGCCACAGGAAAGACTGTGGGGAGGAGAATGGAACTAAAGGCAAACAGGTGGGTTAACAGGCCCCTCCCTAGAATCATCAATGCAACTGGAAATGCGGAGGCAGGGCATAAATAACATTGCAGGTCATGCTATTAACAGCAACAAAAGAGAAAAAAATCATTTTAAAGACTATGATAAATATTAATTTGACATGTAAAATACATTAAGCAGAATCTTCAAGTATTTGAATAAAACTTTACATCAATATTACACTCCATAATTAGCAAAAACCCTTCAAATGCATTTTTTCCATCAGTTTTATGAAGAACTAAGGCCAAAAGAGGTCAGTTGAATATACAAGCCCCTTTCCAGGTATTTCAAATCCTAAACCAAAAGCTTTCCTAAATCCCAGACACTCCTTGTTTTCTACATCATGGCCCTTACCTGGATCTAAATAGTCACCTAAACATTTTCATCAAAAATTAAACGGGAAAGGTGGTAGCAAAAATCTGATAACCTGTCCTACGTCTAGGTTTTATCCTCATTTGCTAATTCTACTTTCAGACTAGAGATTCCCATCCTTAATCCCTTCCCCTGTAACTCTCTAATTTTTTTTCTTTCTGTTCACTCCTGTTCTTTCCCTATTATTTCCCATTATTCTTATTTTCCTACTATTCCTCCCTTCCTCAACTCTAAAGTGTCAGGAGCTTTAAGCACAAAAATCCATGTAGGAATGTCAACTCAAAACCAGAGAAGAAGTAAAACAAAGCTAACACGTGTAGCTCCATACCTGTGCAAAGACAACGGGTGAATGAGATCGCAATATAACCTGACACCATATTTTAATGTTCTGCTAACCCAAGTTATCATTCATACAGCTACTAACCTACAGCAAAACCAACAATAGTTTCTTTTCTTTCAGCTTGTCTCCAAATAGTAACCAAAATTAACCAAAGAGAAGCAGAATATGAAAAGAAAAACAAAAATATCAGGGATAATGTACAAATAAAATGAGTTGATAAAGTAAAATCCACAAAGTAGAGTAAGTGTGGTAGAGATTAAGAGCACGGGACTGGGAGCTGTGGTCAAGATGCCAACCTACCCTAAGGAGCCCAGTCGACGTTCTCCCAGGCAGGCTCCCTGGGCTCCTGGGCTCCTGGGCTCCCTCGCTCCCTCGCTCCCTCGCTCCCTCCCACCTAAGCCCGTAACAGTCCTCCTTTCCCAGGCTCCAGAAGAACTGAGACATACCATGTAAGTACCAGGAAAACACACAACATAATCATCATCTACAAATGTTAGACGTTGTGATTGTTATTTTCAGGCCTATAGTTTAGGCACAGGAGGAAAAAAGAAAATGGGAGAAGGGGAGTTAGGAGGAAAGAGTTACTTATAGGGGGATAAGCAGCAATCCAGTCCCTGTTCCAACTACTACTAATGGTATATATTCAATGGTAAGAAAACATTTATCAAAACAATCAACTAAGTAAATCTGTCGTTGAACAGTTGCTGTAAGCAAAGTTCACAAATATTCTATTTAAGGAGTAAAGGTAACTGTCTCTGGAGTAATCTTTGGCCGAATACTACTGCTTGGGTAACATCAATAGGACCAATCTGAAGGGAAGTAATCACAAATGATGAATGTTACGTGGTTCTTTTCTCTGAGTACTGAATAAAGGTCATTCATTCCCAGTTCTTAATCACATTTAAGATGCATATTCTTATCAACTAACTTGAACAGCCATTAAATTGAGGAATGCATGAAACACAGGCTCCCTGAAGCAAGGGGCAGGGGAGAACGTTCTCGCCACATTTTTATATAAATCAAGGTGGAAACACAATTAAAAATACTACACGGAGTTCTGACAGACAAAACACAAATAACCTAGTCTATTTTAACACAGTGAATTACTGAACTCTAATCTCAATTTTAGGTCAGAAAACGAATGCCTATCTAAATGCCTATATTCTTTTGGACCCTGCTACATCTTCTCCTCTAAGTAAACCAGCAGGATTCAACAGCACAGCCAAAGAACTTGTTTCAAAATGAATGAGTAACTGACAGGTTATAGGCCATCTTGGCAAAGTGCTCAAAAATTAGTCTTTTATCTCAGAATTATTAAACAAAATAAACTCTAATTTTAGTTACACTGACATTTTCACTAATAGTAACTGCTTTAAAAAATTTTAGTGTTATTTAAAAGCAAACACTTTTGAATGCCTAAGATTCCCTGAACATAGCAACTAATGGTAACTGAAAATGCCATTCAATCCTGTAAAATAAACATTAAGATAATTCATGCCCTGGCCTGGTAGCCCAGCTGGTAAGAGCGCTGTTCCCATACACCAAAGTTGAGGGTTCACAATCCCCAGACAGGGCACACACAAGAATCAACCATTGACTTCATGAATAGGAGGACAACAAATCCATGTTTCTCTCTGCAGCCCCTTCCCCTCTATCTCTAAAACCAACAAACTTAGTAAAAAGATCATTCGCTTTCCAAAAGTATTTCTGTTATGGCAATTATTATCCACTAACTTTTTTATAAAAAGCTTTATCAACTCAAACCAGCATAACCTTCCCAGGAGAAAAAAGGCATACTTATTTTTTAGGTTATTTCAAAAGTTCTTAATGCATCCTGCTCAGTTCCTCTCAGTTTCTGTTCCTAGCAATGACCTGACCTTTTGGAACTGAAATCTTAAGGAATAATATGAAATAAAACCACTTCAACAAATTGTTTCAAAAACTTAATTTCTATGATGGGTTAAAATGTTAAGAACACTTATGCCTTAAAACAAGCTACTTCATAAAATATCATATTAAAAACCAAACATTATTATTGTTTTAAACATGAACAAGTTGTTGGTTCTTTTCCTACCAATCTATGGCTCCATAAAGCCCTGGGTGAATAATGACCCCATGGGTTTTTTACTTTAGGAGCACAAAAAACTTAAAATCTGGACAGTTTGATCTGAAATACTCTTAAATCTTAACTCTTAACATTTAAGTTTACTTAACAGTCATTTTCAGACTGTGCAGGAATCTGAAGCCAGAGCAGTATGAATGCGAGACACCGAGAGGCTCCAAGAGTAACAGGGGAACCTGACCCTCTGACATCTCACAAGTGACCATTTCTCTGCCCACCACACAGTACTTACAGAGTCCAGCAGGACCGCACAGGAAGGTGTTGGGTTTTTCTCTGCTATCTTTGTGTTTTCCAGTTTGTTTTTTTATTTTGTATCCTCTGAAATAAAATCCAAGTTCTCTGAAGATACTTAGCCTACGACTATCTGACATAGAGTTACTTCAAGTCAGCTCCCCATACTTGTGTCTCCCAGTTTTCACAGGGCAGCTCCAGCATTAGCCAGTCCCTTGGATTCAAGGTTCCAAAGTCTCCTTTCTCACTCCATGTACTTGTCAGTGTCGTGCTCCCCTCGGGATGAAAGATCCAATTCACGAGCCGGCAGGCAAAGGCAGAAACACGCCGTCACGTCGGAGGCGCATCCCTCGGCGGCGCTCACAGGGGCTCGGCTATCTCAGCGCCGCCGCGCCGCCGGGACCGCGCAGCATCTCGATTCCGCGGGGACAAAAGACAGGGCAGAAAGTGCTCCTCCAAGGCCTTCATCTAGGGGAGCGGTCCCATTGCGACAAGCACAGGGCCGCGGTCAGAAATTCCTGAGAGTTGCGAGAAGGGTGGAAAGCAAGGCCGCGGAACTTGGGCAACACGGACCCGGCACCTGGAAACTTCCGGAAACTACCCGAGGCGCGGGTCGGACATCTCGCACCGGCTCGGCTGAAGCACAACAGGGGAGGGCGGGGGAGGGCCCCTCCCGGGGAGAAAGAAAAAAACAAACAAAAACCAGCCGCGGGAAGACCTGGCCCGGTTACATAACCCGCGGACGGAACCCTGCGGGGCCTGGGTTTCCGCTGGAGCCGCCCGCGGACCTGCCCGCTGCCGTCCAGACGACGCTCGCCGCTCTCGGTCCCTTATCGGGCAGAACCACCCCAAAACATTGTAATTCCAAAATGGCCACTTGAAATATCCGGGGCCTTTTGCACAGACCGAGAAGAGGAGGATCTTCACATCTGAGCAATCCGATCACCTGTGAAAGTTAAAAAAAAAAGAAAGAAAGAAAGAAACTTGAATTACACGGGGCTCCGAGGGCGCCGGCGCCCAGCCCGTGTGCACGCGCGGAGCCGGGAGGCCGCTTCCGCGGGCGGGGGGCGCGGGGCGCGGGGCTGGACGCCCGGCCGGGGGCGCGGGTTACGTAAGGAGCCGCACTTTCTGGCCACGCGACGGCGGCGGGCGGCGCGCCACCTGCCCGAGGCCGCTCCGCGTCCCGTCCCGGGCAGGGCGGCGGGGCCGGCGCGTCCACGACGGGAGCCGCGGGGCCGGGGCCGGCGCGGCGCACCCCGCGGCGACACCCGCCCCGAACCGGCCCCCGCGGGCGGCCGCGGCCGAGAGGTGCCGGCCGAGCGGCCGCGGACCCGGCTCCGCCCGACGCGCCCCGCAGGCAGCTCCGCTCGGACCCGCGGCCGGCAGCGGGGGCGGCCGCTACCCCGGCGGAGGCCCGACCGCCGGCCCGGGGCCCGAGGGGGCGGCAGCGCGCGGGGAGCTGCGGCCCGGAAACGCCGGCGCCAGACTCGGGCCCGCGGCCCCCGCCGCCCGAGCCCCGCGCCGGCCCCGCACCCCGTCGCGGGCGCCTCGCACCGCGCGCCGCCAACGCCGCCCTGGCCCGGCCCGACGCCACGGCGGCCCGCCCCGGGCCGGCTCCGCGCCGCGTTACCTTCCGCCACGCCGCGGCCCGGCCTGGGGTGCCGGCGACGGTCCGGGACGAGGCGCTCGGTACTTTGAATAATCCCCTTTTGCCGCTTTTCCCTCCCCCACAGCCAGTCTCCGTCCCAAAATGGCGCCGGCCCGATCCGCAATGTTCTGGGCCGAGTCTCGCGAGACGGGAAGGCGGCGAGGCCGCGGAGAGGGGCGGGGGGCGGGGCGGGAGGGGGCGGGGCGGCGGGGGGCGGAAGCGCCCAGAACGACGAGCCTGCTGGGCGGGGCCGCAGGGGCAGCGCCTCCGCCTCAGAACCTTCCGGCCCGCGCGCCGCTCCCGCCCGGCCGCAGACGCGCCGCCCAGGACGCCGGGCGCTGGGGGCGGGGCGGGGCGGGGCGGGGCGGGGCTGCGCCCGGGGCGGGGCTTCGAGGGGGCCCCAGAGGCGGGGGCGGGCTCCGCGCGCTGACGTCAGCAGTAGCCGGAGTCGGGGATTACCCCCTGCTGCTGACGTGCGCTCCCTGAACAATCGCGAAGGTTCGGGGAAGGGGATTCCCCGCCGCTCCCGGAGGAGCCCCTCCTCCCGCGCCGGCCCCGCCCGGGGCTCAGCGCGGGGCGCCCGAGGGCCAGACGGGGCCGCGGCGCCGGGGCCGCCGGGGCGCGCCTCCCGCTGGGCCCCGCGCGGGCCGGGCGGACGCGGTCACGTGCTCGCGGGGCGCGGCCCACGCCGGCAGCGCTGGCCCGGCGGCCGGCCCCGGCGCACACGCACTGGGCCTGCGGGAGCCGGGGCGCGGGCCGCGCTCCTGGGGCTGGGCCCAGCCTCTCCCAGCACCCCTGCGGCCGAGGGGCCGAGGGGCCGAGGGGCCGATGGCCGCGCGATCCGCGCTGACCCCGCCGCTCGCGGCCGCACGGGTCCACGCACTTCTTCAGCGAACGTCGTGGTAGCCGCTTCGCTGTTCACGGGAGAGCCCGTTACAACCTCCGGAGCGCGCCTTCGGGGCGAACGTGGGGGAGGGGAGCCCCGAAGGCAGCACGCGGGAGGCGCTTCGGGCTCCCCGAGCCGCAGGGGTTGCAGGACGGAGGCTCGGCCAGCCCTTGGGTGCATTGTGGGGCTTGTAGTCCAGCTCCCGGAAAGACAACGTGGACGCCCAAAACGGCAGCTCCCACTCTCCTCGCACCCCTCGAAGCGGAATCGGACGCCTGGGCAAGGAATGGGGCCTGGCTGAGCGCAAAGAGAGAGTTGGCACCTGCTGGACACGTCGTCCACGCTTGCAGATGCAGAAGCTGATGCAGGTCGAGGACCGTGCTAGGGCTGCGCCGCGTGGAGCCCGCCCGGGCGCCACGGCCGGTGTGCCAGGAGCACCAGGTCTCTGCACCTTCGGTATTGGGGCCCACACCCGTGACGTGACTCAGGGTACTGGGACAAGACCCACTTCCACTTCTAAGCAGAATGCCCGTTGAAGCAACGCAGGAAAATACTGATCATTTGAATATACACACAAATTGTGCTTTTCATACGGCAAAAGACAGAAAGTTGAAAACAAGTACAGTAGTGAAATAGAGAAATGATTGTAACATGTATGACAGTTTACTATGTAATTAGATATAGTTACTATTCCTTCTATCTAATGTTTGATTTACATAACAAATATATCGAGAGCTCTTGCAAATCATTAAGGAAAAGATATATTTTTTCAACAAGTAAAAGAATATGAACAAGCTAGTCATTATATGTGTTAATTATATGAAAAAATGTTCTATCTCGAAATCAGAGAGAAAAAAAACTAAAACTGTGTGAACCCTGAGAAAGAAGACACCTCCTAAGAAGGGCTCCTGGTGGCTCAACTGGGCTTAAATTTTAAAAAGCAGAATCTATCAGCCATTTCTGCACAGGGCGTCTCATGCAAAGGGCACCTTAAGGAGAAGCTTGGCTGAACTCCCTGCCTGCGGGGTGTCCCCAGCTGAGCCAGCCCTCATGAATGAGTTCCTGGAATCCTAATTCAACCAATAGAATTGAGGCTTTTCCCAACCAATGGGAGCTATGGCTCTATTCTGATCAATTAGGATAGTGCCTTTTGAACCAATCAAACAGCAAGAATTAGAAGTCATCATTTGCATGAGGACAGACCAATCAAGAACCAGGGGTGGGAACTTCATCTATATAAGTCAGCCTCCCGCTTGCTGTGAGAGCACATTTTCCCTTTCTTGATTCGGGAAAGGTGTCCAGGACGTTAATTTATCACTGCTGCTACACTTACTACACTAGATCGAAATGGCCAATTTTTTTGGTCTGTCTCTACCATTGGACTCAAAGAACCTTGAGTACATTGAGTAGGTCTTTATGTTTATTCATAGCAGCTAGTACACTTTCAGCCACAGTGTAAATTCTCCAATATCGATTAAATATGCGACTTCCCCACCCTGAATCTTGTTTCAGTCATGCACTACCTGTAGTTCTCGGAATTCCCCTTGTTATTGGACATTCTGCACAATGACTATTCCCTTTCATTGTAATTGCCTTTCCCCTCTCCACTCTCTACTTTGAAAATTCTTAGTCCTAGAGAGCCTGTTTAACTAACACTCAGGTAAGGAACCATCGGATAAAGCTCAGAAGTTCTGGATTCTCACGTGGGTGTACACTCATTTTTATCACTATCTGTTCTTTCTGTTCTCCTTTCCAGATGTTGGGACCCTGGTGGGGACACTGTTCTGTTCATCCCCTGCCCTTAAACCAAAGCTCAGCCACAGAAAGCTGGATGGATAATCAGCAAACAGAACCCACTGGGCTCCTATCCACATGTACCAGCACAGCCTGTCCAACCTCTGGGGTGGAGAGGTTCTCTCCTATTCTCTGTTCACCCGAACTGTGGTCCTGCTTTTGCACTTAGCAGTTCACAGACCGTCTGACTTGAGGCTCCCACTTGGGAAAAATCAGAAACATACAGCCTTTATCCTTGGTGTAATAAAAAATATTTGCATGCTCCTCTTTCTTTCTGGCAAGTTTCACAATTTTGTGCTGATCCATTTAATCGGTCCTTCCCCTCAATGTGTTTCAAGAGTCCATGCCCATTTTGTCCCCTGTTGTGTCCCCAGCATCTGGTACAATGAGGGGCACAAAGTAGGTATTCCATAAATACCACCTGGATGAATAAAGGACTGGATGATGAAAATAAAAACGTTTTAAAGATAAATGTTTTAGAAGAAACTTGCTCTACCAGAAATAAATGTTTTTCTTTTAAATTAAAAAAAAATATGTCATGTAAAAAGTGAAAAATGATGGAGTGTCATTTTAACTTTGAAAAAATCTGTGTCAGCCCTGGCCAGTCCGCTAAGGGCACGTACCTTGGTTGCAGTTTGTCCCCAGCCCTGGTTGGGTCGTGTGGGTGGCAGCCACTCGATGTGTCCTTTCATATCGATGTTTCTCTCTCTCTCTCCCTCCCTATCTGAACAAAATATTGAAAAATGTCCTCGGGTGAGGATAAAAAAAAAAAAAATCTGTGTCATTGTTAAACATGATAACATCTGGTGATAAATTTGATCAGTAAATTTGGTATTCATTAATTTCAGTTGTTTAAGCATAAAAGTAGTATATGCTTGACAGACACAGAAACAAATTAAAATTACTTATAATCCAAAGCATAAACAAATGAAAATTACTTATAATCCACCACCCAGAAATGATGGCTCTTAAATATTAATGTATTTCTTTCATGTATTCTTTGCATGTTTCCGTGTCATAGTGTATGTACAGCATTTTATCCATTTTTTTAATTCATATGTTCTAAAATTCTTTATATTTAAATTTTTTTTTGTTTTGTCTTTGTTCCATTTTAAGGATTAACATAACATTTGAATTCTTAATTTAAAACATTTTATACTAGTCCTTATGGTCTCTTTATTTTTACACAATAAGGATGATCACTGCCCAGGCTGGTTTGGCTCAGCGGTTAGAGCATCAGCCTGTGGACCAGAGAGTCCAGGGTTTGGTTCCTGCTAAGGGCACTTACCTCAGTTGCAGTTTGTCCCCTGTCCTGATTGGGGTCATGTGGGTGTCAGCCAGTCAATGTGTCTCTCTCACTTCGATGTTTCTCTCTCTCTCTTCCCCCCTCTCTCCCTGTCGCTCTATCTGAAGATAAGTGCAAAAATGCCCTCGGGTGAGGATTAAAAAAAAAAAGGATGGTCACTATTTTGAGCCCCTTTTCCAACCTGCTTTCCACTAGAAAAGTTTCCTTTAAGTTTTACTCAATTTAATCCATGATTATAACTTTAACTTTACCAAGCATTTTCTCCCTTTTGATGAGTTTTTAAATTGTGCATAGAAGTAGTTACCAGAGAATTAACCACTTCTTAAAATAGATTGGCTGGCATCCTGGCCGGTTTGGATCAGTGATTAGAGCATCGGCCCGCCTACCAAACAGTCACAGGTTCAATTCCAGTCAAGGACACGTACCTTGGTTGCGTTGCAGTTCGGTCCCGTCCCTGGTCAGGGTCCCTGGTTGGGATCATGTGTCTCTCTCACAAAGATGTTTCTCTCTCTCTCTCCCCCCCCCACCCCTTCCCCCACTGAAGATAAATGGAAAAATATCCTCAGGTGAGGATTTTAAAAGTTTAAGAAAATTAGTTGGCAAATATTCCCCCAGGCTCCAGTGTGGGTGGCCCAGTTCCCCTAACTGGCACAGCTCCGTGCTCCCCCCTCTACCAGATGTGGAGGAGCACCGTCAGCCAGCAAACACTCGTTTTTCTTTTTACCAATATGCTTTTATTGATTTTTTCTTTTTTGAGAGAGAGAGAGAGAGAAACATCGATGGGAGAAACATACATCAATCAGCTGCCTCCTGCACGCCCTCTACTGGGGATCAAGCCTGCAACTGGGGCATGTGCCCTGATGGGGAATCGAACCCAGGATCTCTCAGTCCATGAGGCAACACCCAATCCACTGAGCCACACAGGCCAGGCACCAGCACTCTTAAATGTCCTTTCCGTCATGTGGCTTCCAACACACAGTCTCTTCTTACATGGCACTTAGAATGTATACCTACAGGAAAATGTAAACATGCGAATTGTAGATAAGGGGTGACTGCCGACCCGGTGCC